TTTGCTAAGTTCTTCGTAACTGATGCTTGCAAACCTCTCAGTTCAACGAAACTCATTCGAGCTCAAAGCAAAATTTTGTTCAAAATAATCGGTTGTAAATATGATATGATTAATGTGCAGTCTTTCCGATGCTAACATCTAGTCAAGCATTAAGCTTGATGCATGCAATCGTTATCTTTATGCATGTCTCTATTACTATCACTAATGATATCATTGTTATTTCCCATCCCATCACTACCCTATTATAAGTGATACTATAATACTAAAAGAATGTGCAAAAACCACAATAAAGTCGTAGTGATGTGGCTAAAACGGTCACAATTGCAACAAAAAATTCGGTTGTTTTGTTAATGTGGTCCGTATGCCATATGTTTACGCTTTCAATTGCCCACAGTGTTTGTTCTGGACTCGGATAACACCGTTTAGGTGTCATTTCAACAAAAAAACATTTGTAAGCTAGCTTGTTAAACTCCATTTGCAGAGCAGCAAGATTTGATCAATAGGTTATGAATGTCACTCTTTGAAATTCTGCATAATATGTGCACATTCCAAAATAGTGCCTAAAGTTTTCGTTGCTGTTAGCTTAGAGTGTGAAAGCGTTCGTGATTATAGTCAATAGCACTCGGAAATAAATAGCTGCTGGCAATGAGCAAAAGAGAGACTAAAAGAGAACTCTTGAGAGGGATTGAATGGTCCGAGGGGCTGACACGTTGAATGGTCCGAACGAGCCGAGCCAGTGTCGAAGCCTAAATTTCTCTGATGCACCAAAATCTGTGATAGCAGCTTTTGATTGGACTTCAGCTGTTCTGGTTCTAAATATATCCCAAAAATCACCCTTCACTATTTGCGAAGCACTGCAGAGAAGGCTGAAACCGATTTATTGGTTTATAGATGAGACTATCTGTGCGACTAGGAAACTCTTTCAAGTTAATCCTCCACTCGCCGAATTCTCCCAGTCGAATTAGTGAAGAGTTTGAGACGAATGCAGCAAAATTTCTTCCGTTTCATCTCGCTTAATTATACTCTAATGATCTGAATTATCTCCCTTGTGGATAGCCAACTCACTAATCAAGTGGGAGCTGAACGCAAGTGTTATCTGCATATGGGCATTTACAAGATGTAGTAGGATGAAGACCGCCTTTACGAGCACGACTTCTGACATAGATCAAAGAATTGTGCGTTCATATTCCCAGCAAGCGAATGTCTGAGCCGCATAGGTTTCGCTTGGGTGATTTATGCTCATGGCCAAAATATCTGACGATGATGTCTAACGTCCGTTTTTTGTGGTCTGGACTAAGGAACAAACGGGTAAAAACCGAGCGGAGAGAAGGGGATAGTTTGAGAAGGGAGAAGAATATGGCAAAAAACGAAAGTTCAAAAGAAAGAAGGGGAAGTAAATGAATGAAAAAATAATCTCAGAAGAATCTACTCCGAAAGTTGCTGTTTTTCTGGACTGGATCATTTCGTCCTCCTGGAAAAAATCCTGGCTACACGACTGAATATACACGCATAAACGAAACAGTAGTGCTTGAAAGAGCATTCAACCGAAAAGAACTAAAAAATAACAAAATGAAATTTCACAATGAAGTCAAAGCTAAGTACTGTAATCATTGTAATTTTCAGCTAACAGTGTCAGACGATGAATTTGTGGTTGATGATGCCGGGAAACATATGGAAGGTGATAATAACAATTCGTTGCTTCATCACGGTTTTCGAAATCCTCTGATTGAACTTCCTGAATTCAGTTTGATTGCACATTTCATCACAAACTCATCCCACTGCAAAAAATTTTTTGCACCATTCGAATAAATTCAAATCTTGTTTATTCGATGATATTCCTAGGTTTTGTTCAAAAACTGCCGTGATTGTGATTGTATTGCTGCTTTTCTTTGAAACTGCTTTACGTCTCGTTTCTAAACTGCAAACAATTGCAGCTATTGAGCCTCCAGCTCTGCCGACTGTATCTGGTTCACCTGTTCTCTCAACATCACACTCCATCCCGAGGGTTCCCAGCAGTGGCAATAAGCACCCCTCTATGGACAGTTCGTTGTCCAGAAGGTTCGTTTTCTTCGATTGTGCGCTCTAAATAGATAGCATCGTCATCCTGGAGGATTATACTCACTATCAGAATTCCCTAACAGTCCTAAATGATCTCAAAAACACCAAGAAAATTCATGACTGTCCAGACAAAGTCAAGTGCTTTATCGGTAGTTATGAGGTGTTCATTGCTAGTTCAGAAAATTTGAAAATTCTACACAGTTTGGAGAATTTCAAGTGGTTCCAAAATAACGGTAAGCGCCCAAAATTCAGGATGCGTGCCGAGATGATCGACACCAGGTCGTATCGTAGCGCCGGTAGTGAGAGGTCAGACGAGCTGTCGTTGAGGTCCTTACGGCGTGCTGGCGGTACATACAAACGTGAGAAGATGCCCGTTTCGGTGGGTATCATTACGGTGATGATGTTCATTGCCGGTGGAGCGATTTTGTTCGCAGTTTGGGAGGATTGGAATGTTTTTGATGGTGCTTACTATTCGTTCATCACACTCAGGTACGTGTCTTTTTACATTGCATTGGTTTTTCTACCAAGACGCAATCGTTAACATTCGGTTGGGTCGTTTCAAGGATTCAAGTGAATTAGGGCTATTAGAGTATCTTGAAGTCTCATGGATACATTTTGATCTCGGATAGCTTTATGACCCACTTATGATATGCTAATCGTAAGTGCTTATTCATAACATATAATCGAAAATATCATAGCTATACGCTTGAAATCATATCGCCTGATTGTTCACAAGCATAAGATATGGTTTCAAAGTATCAAAGCATCATATGATTGTTTGGATATCGAGAATTTCTGTTTGCAGTACAATCGGTTTCGGTGATATAGTGCCCGGACAAAGTTTGGGTGATGGATCACAAGAGAAGCTGATCGTGTGCGCGTTATATTTGCTATTTGGAATGGCATTGATCGCGATGTGTTTCAAGTTGATGCAAGACGATGTTGTACAGAAAGCAAGATGGCTTGGACAAAAAATTGGAATTCTCGGTTTGTTGCGATTAGACATCGAATAGAGTTCGAAAATTTGCCGTTGCCGTTGAAAAATTTAAAATATTTGCCACAAATTGTATGGAATCATTGTTGGATGTTTGCTTCATGCCGCTATACACTAAAGTTTTCGTGCTTACTTGCTTTAATTTATCTTTAATTTATCATGGTCAGTTGCTGTACTCATATTGTGCTATATATATAGTCGAGCATGCCGTGTACGCTTATCTATTGTATTATAATTAAGCA